GGTTCCGTTCCCTGCGACGTCGGGACGTACGGGGGACGGAACTGGCGGGAAATTCAAAAATGACAAAAAGTGACATTCACTAAATACACTAAAATCACATCGTATAACATTCCTGTATCAAACCATTTCACATACATTGTGTCCCGAGTGCTTTGTCCGGCGCCCTGCCTGCATTTTTATTTTACCGCCTTTTCTGCCTGGAAACTGAGAAACGTCCATGGCGTCCAAAAAGTGTCCCTTTAGGTCAGACGCGGTTTTAGACCGGCTAGAGAACAGCGATAGTAAATCAGAACCACTTGCAGAATTGAGGGATAATGATTGGTGGGGGAAATTCGTGATCAGACACTGAAAACGATTCTGCGACTGAGCTCAGCGATGGGCCAACTTGGCGCTCTATTTCACATTTCAGTGTTTTTGGTTTGATGACATTATTGAATTACATTTATTATTATTATTTTTTATGATTATTTATTAAATTATAATTTATGATTTTTTTTTTTTCAAGTTTTATCATCCCTGGAATGTTTACTAGACTCCAGGGGCGGACTGACCATTTGAAAACTCAGGCACTGCCCGAGGGCCCGGGGTCAGCAGGGGGCCCCATGAGATGCCCCTGGTACCTTTTTCATAGGCTTTTTTGAGTTTGGGCAAGGACACAGGGGCCCCATGATCCCCTATATATAGCCCCATGAGTTGTTAGTCCGCCCCTGCTAGACTCTTGTTTGGACAGATTTCAGGGAGTTATTCCTAAGAATTACAGCCTACAATAAAAAAAATACATATTTCCATGCAAAAAAATGTACCGCTTTGAGCACAGAAATCCTGACATCAGACTGCTAGGGAGGTTAATGTGATAAAAATTGTTTCATTTTTGTTTCTGCAGTAACATGCAGTCATGTATATCTGTCCATCTTTAACATTGTTATTTGTAATGTTTTAATTTTGTATACAATAACAATTCTGAGACTTTTTTACACTTATTTCCTATCTTGTTGCTGAATATAGAATCCCGTATCTCGTCTTTTTATCGAATGTTATATAATTGTCTGGGAGGCAACACTTGTGATGTGTCTCCACTCTGGTAGATGATTGTCCAGCTTTGTCTGCAATCACATCACTCTTCATTAGACGTGGACTGTGGACACCATTAGTGCCCCTTATTACACGACTCACAAACTGTCATTTCATGTGATTTTTTTTTTTTTTTAAATGAAAACTGAAACCCCTCCCCCCCCCCCAAACAACCTGTCCCGCTTCACCATTCTCACTGCATTTATTTTCTGTATTACTCCTAAATTTTGAGTATTATATTTCCAGTTTTAGGAGTTCATTAAAAGTCAAACATTTTCAAAGGTTGAGCAAAATAACTTTTTTTTTTTACTCCAGAAAAGAAAAAAATCTGCGTCTTCAGAGTCTTAAATGAGCACATTTAATAAAGGGAAAATTAATTCACTTTCCTATACAATCAGCGGGAGGTTGTCACGCTGATTATTCAAAGCCGTCTTTAAAACAGAAAATATTATGCCTTTCAAATAATCCCGCAGACATAACAATGAGTACAAGGTAAACCCAAGATCAGTCTGGCGTCACCCGACTTCACATCTCTACAGACAACTTGAAAGCAAAGTTGCTCATTGGTAAAGTTTCAGAACAACTCCTTGTAGTTACAACTAATTATCGCCCAGATATTGTTTTATACAAAGTCATAAAACCTCCTTTATATTGTATCGGAATCTGTGTCTATATTTGCTTTCTGTAATCAGTATATAGTTCAGTTTATAGGAAAATATAGGAACCTGTTGGTTGCCGCAGAGGCATACCTTGAAGCTTGTGGGCCCCGATGAATAGGTTGACCTGGGCCCCCCCCCCCCCCCCATCCCCCACTACCACCGGCCACTTCACTCTGAGCTGCCTGGTGAAAATGGTGGGCTTCAGAGCCAAATCTAGCCAGTCTGATATGGGGGTGCAGGGGGGCAGAGGATAGGAGGTCAGCAGGGCAGTGAACAAAAACAGGAATCAGTAGCGGAGTGTACTGGGGGTCAGTAGGGCAGAGGACAGGAATTAGCAGAGATAAGGTCTGGGATCCATAGTTTGTAGGGCAGTGTATAGGGGGTCAGCAGGGCAGAGGGCAGGCGGGTCGGCGGGGTGGAGGACAGGGGCCAGTATAGTAGTGTATTGCAGGGGTCAGCAGCTTGTACGCCAGTGTCCAGGGGGTCAGTAGGGCAGAGGACGGCCAGTCAGCAGGGGAGTTTACAAGGGTCAGTATGGCAGTGTGCAGGGGGTCAGCAGGGCAGAGGATGGTCAGTCAGCAAGGGAGTGTACAGGGGTCAGTGTGGTAGTGTACAGGGGGTCAGCAGGGCAGAGGACAGTCAGTCAGCAGGGCAGTGGACAGGAGTCAGTATGGCAGTGTACAAGGGGTCCACAGGGCAGAGGACAGTCAGTCAGCAGGGGAGTTTACAAGGGTCAGAATGGCAGTGTACAGGGGGGTCAGCAGGGTAGAGGGCAGTCAGTCAGCAGGGCAGAGGATGGTCAGAGTCAGCAAGGGAGTGTACAGGGGCCAGTATGGCAGTGTACAGGGGCCAGTATGGCAGTGTACAGGGGGTCAGCAGGGTAGAGGATGGTCAGAGTCGGCAAGGGAGTGTACATGGGTCAGTATGGCAGTGTACAGGGGGTCAGCAGGGCAGAGGACAGTCAGTCAGCAGGGGATTGTACAGGGGTCAGTATAGCAGTGTACAGGGGTCAGTATGGCAGTGTACAGGGGTCAGTATAGCAGTGTACAGGGGCCAGTATAGCAGTGTACAGGGGCCAGTATAGCAGTGTACAGGGTCAGTATAGCAGTGTACAGGGGTCAGTATAGCAGTGTACAGGGGCCAGTATAGCAGTGTACAGGGGCCAGTATAGCAGTGTACAGGGGTCAGTATAGCAGTGTACAGGGGTCAGTATAGCAGTGTACAGGGGCCAGTATAGCAGTGTACAGGGGGTCGGCAGGGCAGAGGAGAGTCGCAAGGGAGTGTACAGGGGTCGGTATGGCAGTGTACAGTGGGTCAGCAGGGCAGAGGACAGTCAGTCAGCAGGGAAGTGTACAGGGGTCAGCAGGGCAGAGGATGGTCAGTCAGCAGGGAATTGTACAGGGGTCAGTATGGCAGTGTACAGGGGGTCAGCAGGGCAGAGGACGGTCAGTCAGCAGGGGAGTGTACAGGGGTCAGCAGGGCAGAGGATGGTCAGTCAGCAGGGAATTGTACAGGGGTCAGTATGGCAGTGTACAGGGGTCAGCAGGGCAGAGGACGGTCAGTCAGCAGGGGAGTGTACAGGGGTCAGCAGGGCAGAGGACGGTCAGTTAGCAGGGGAGTGTACAGGGGTCAGCAGGGCAGAGGGCGGTCAGTCAGCTGGGGAGTGTACAGGGGTCAGCAGGGCAGAGGACGGTCAGTCAGCAGGGGAGTGTACAGGGGGGTCAGCAGGGTAGAGGACGGTCAGTCAGCAGGGGAGTGTACAGGGGGTCAGCAGGGCAGAGGACGGTCAGTCAGCAGGGGAGTGTACAGGGGTCAGCAGGGTAGAGGACGGTCAGTCAGCAGGGCAGAGGACGGTCAGAGTCAGCAAGGGAGTGTACAGGGGCCAGTATGGCAGTGTACAGGGGCCAGTATGGCAGTGTACAGGGGGTCAGCAGGGTAGAGGATGGTCAGAGTCGGCAAGAGTGTACATGGGTCAGTATGGCAGTGTACAGGGGGTCAGCAGGGCAGAGGACAGTCAGTCAGCAGGGGATTGTACAGGGGTCAGTATAGCAGTGTACAGGGGTCAGTATAGCAGTGTACAGGGGTCAGTATAGCAGTGTACAGGGGTCAGTATAGCAGTGTACAGGGGTCAGTATAGCAGAGTGTACAGGGGCAGGGCCATTAGCAGTGTACAGGGGGTCAGCAGGGCAGAGGAGAGTCGCAAGGGAGTGTACAGGGGTTGGTATGGCAGTGTACAGTGGTCAGCATGGCAGTGTACAGGGGTCAGCAGGGCAGAGGATGGTCAGTCAGCAGGGAATTGTACAGGGGTCAGTATGGCAGTGTACAGGGGTCAGTATGGCACTGTACAGGGGTCAGTATAGCAGTGTACAGGGGTCAGTATAGCAGTGTACAGGGGCCAGTATAGCAGTGTACAGGGGTCAGTATAGAAGTGTACAGGGGCCAGTATAGCAGTGTACAGGGGGTCGGCAGAGTGCCCCCTTATATCATAATTCAGCAGAGTTCCCCCTTACATCAGAGTCCTGCAGAGTGCCCCCTTACATCAGAATTCAGCAGAATGCCCCCTTGCACCAGAGTTGGCAGAGTGCCCCTTACATCAGAGTTTGGCGAAGTTCCCCCCCTTACATCAGAGTCCAGCAGAGTGCCCCCCATACATCAGAATCTGGCAGTCAGAGCCCATGACAACGGGATTTTTACGAGCACATTTTCTGTCCATGAACATTTGCAGGTAGGAGAAAAGTGTCTGTTTTATACAAAACTGTTTGTAAATGTATGGATGGTTGGCAGCACAGGGTTGGGGAGTACACATTATTATTATACAGGATTTATATAGCGGCAGAAGGTTTGCTCATCGCTGTACATTATAGTGGGAGACAGTACAATAACAATACAATACACACGAGGGGTTCGAGGGCCCTGCTCCTTGGAGCTTACAATATAGGAGGGAGGGGATAGTGGTACAGGAGGAAATGGCTGTGGGGGATGGAGTGGTAGGAGGAGTGGAGGAGGTCGGCAATTAGGTGAGGGCGGGGTAGGCTTTCCTGAAGAGGGGAGCGAAGAGTACTGGTTGGGTGGTATTTGGATATCAGGGTCGTTGAGGTAGTTCGCGGCAGCATTATGAACAGCTTTGTATGTCAGTGTTAGTAATTTGAATTTTATCCATTGGGCAATCGGAAGCCAGTGGAGGGGTGGAGGACACTGAATGGAGGCCAGTGGAGGGATTGGCAGAGAGGGGTGGAGGACACTGAGTGGAGGCCAGTGGAGGGATTGGCAAGAGAGGGGTTGGAGGACACTGAATGGAGGTCAGTGGAGGGGATTGGCAGAGAGGGATGGAGGGCACTGAGTGGAGGCCAGTGGAGGATTGGCAGAGAGAGGGGTGGAGGACACTGAATGGAGGCCAGTGGAGGGATTGGCAGAGAGGGGTGGAGGACACTGAGTGGAGGCCAGTGGAGGGATTGGCAGAGAGGGGTGGAGGACAGTGAATGGAGGTCAGTGGAGGGATTGGCAGAGAGGGATGGAGGGCACTGAGTGGAGGCCAGTGGAGGGATTGGCAGAGAGGGGGGTGGGGACACTGAGTGGAGGTCAGTGGAGGGATTGGCAGAGAGGGGTGGAGGGCACTGAGTGGAGGCCAGTGAGGGATTGGCAGAGAGAGGTGGAGGGCACTGAGTGGGGGTCAGTGGAGGGATTGGCAAAGAGGGGCGGAGGGCACTGAGTGGAGGCCAGTGGAGGGATGATTGCCAGAGAGGGGTGAGGGCACTGAGTGGAGGCCAGTGGAGGGATTGGCAGAGAGAGGTGGAGGGCACTGAGTGGGGGGTCAGTGGAGGGATTGGCAAAGAGGGGCGGAGGGGGCACTGAGTGGAGGCCAGTGGAGGGGATTGGCAGAGAGGGGTGGAGGGCACTGAGTGGAGGCCAGTGGAGGGATTGAAAGAGGGGGGTGGCAGAAGCGGAGCAGTTGGTGAGGTGGATGAGTCTAGCCACAGAATTCAGGATAGACTGAAGCGGGGTAGTCTGTGTTGGGGTAGGCCGGTGAGGAGGGAGTTACAGTAGTCCAGACGTGAGATAATTAAGGGAGCGAATGAGTTGCTTTGTAGTTTCGGGGTTTAGGAACGGGGTGTATTTTGGAGATGTTGCGGAGGTGGAAGCCTGCATGAATCTGTCAGCGATTGGACTTGGGGCTGAAAAGACAGATTGGAGGGCATTGGAGAGAATAGTCGGATGCAGTGGGCCTCAAAGGAGGAGAAGGATAGGGAGGGAGTGTTTGGGAGGACTTGGAAGGTGCTCTGCGGTGACAGGAGCATACCAACCCCACTGCCTTTTCGACTGCTGGGTCTGGGTGAATGGGTCCAGATGAGACCTCCGTAGGAGAATGCAGGGGAGGTGGAGTCGGTGGTTGGGATCCAGGTTTCGGTGAATGCCAGGAGGTTGAGGGAGCTGGAGACAAAGAGGTCGTGGATGGCGGTAAGTTTGTTGCAAACCGAAACGGGCATTCAGGAGTGCACATGAAAACGGAGAGGTGGTTTTGGGGAGCAAAGGGACAGGTATTAGATTGAGGGGGGATGTTTGCGGGCAGTTCGTGGTAGTAGGTGGGTGCCTTTCGGTGGGTGAGGGGTGAGGGAGGTGGAGGACCAGGGTTCGGGGAGATGTCCCCGCGGTTAGGTGAAGAAGGGTGAGAAAGGTGGCATGGGAGCGGGGTATGTACAAGAGCGGTGATTCTACCATTGGTGGTGTTCCGGTCGGTGGGAGAGTGGAGTAACAGGAGGAGGTGGTGAGAGCCGTAGTGGGGAGATGGAAGCAGTGAGGGTGCGATGTATAGATGTTTGGGAGGAGCGGGGGGGATAGAGAGAAGAGATTTTGGGAATGGAGGAGAAGAGTATGAAGAGTACAGGTGGCATTTAGGGAGGTAAACAAAGTGGCGGACAAGTGAGGTGGAAAGTTTCTCAGGGCGCTTGGTTATAGATGGTCGGGCGTGCAGTGGCGTATCTCGTAGTAGTAGCTTTCGTGATTAGGATCAGGACGGGTGGAGTTCACACATGCTGACATTGTGATGTTTTCTGGCCAGGAAAAAAAATTCTAATCCTCTGTTGCTTTCTGTGGGCGCAGTGCCTGCTGAATGTGACCCATCCAAGTGAATGAGACTGCTCTGCAAGCACCCAACTACATGCAATGTACAGTTGCAAGAAAAAGTATGTGAACCCCTTGGGATTATGTGGAGTTTTGCATGAATTGGGCATAAAAATGTGCTCTGAACGTCATCTAAGTCACAACAATAGAAGAACACAGTCTGCTGAACATAATACTACACAAAACATTAGATGTTGCCATGGTTTAATTGCACATAACATGTAAACATTCACAGTGCAGGGAGGAAAAAGTATGTGAACCTTTGGACTTAATAACTGGTTGACCCTCCTTTGGCAGCAATAACCTCAACCAAACGTTTCCTGTAGTTGCAGATCAGACCTGCACAACGATCTGGAGTCATTTTGGACCACTCCTCTTCACAAAACTGTTTCAGTGTAGCAATATTCTTGGGATGTCTGGTGTGAATCGCTCTCTCTTAAGGTCATGCCACAGCATTTCAATGGGAAGTTGAGGTCAGGACTCTGACTGGGCCACTCCAGAAGGCGTATTCTGTGCTGTTGCAGCCATTGTTTTGTTGAATTACTTGTATGCTTTGGGTCATTGTCCTGTTGCATCACCCATCCTCTGCGGAGCTTCAGTTGGCGGACAGATGGTCGTACGTTTTCCTGCAAAAGGATGTCTTGATAAACTCTGGAATTCATTTTCCCCATCAATGACAACAATCCGTCCAGCCCTGAGGCAGCAAAGCAGCCCCAAACCATGATGCTCCCTCCGCCATGTTTCACAGTGGGGATGAGGTTTTGATGTTGGTGTGCTGTGCCTTTTTTTCTCCACACATAGTGTTGTGTGTTCTTCCCAAACAACTCAATCTTGGTTTCATCATGTCCACAGTATATTTGCCAGTAGTGCTGTGGAACATCCAGGTGCTCTTTTGCAAACTTCAAACGTGCTGCAATATTCTTTTTGGCCAGCAAATGGCTTCCTCCGTGGTGTCCTCCCATGTACTCCATTCTTGTTTCATGTTTTCCTTATTGTAGATGTGTTAACAAAAATGTTAGCATGTGCCAGAGATTTCTGTAGGTCTTTAGCTGACACTCTGGGATTCTTCTTTACCTCATGCAGCATTCTGCGCTGGGCTCTTGCAGTCATTTTTACAGGACGACCACGCCTAGGGAGAGTAGCAACAGTGCTAAACTTTCTCCATTTGTAGACAGTCTGTCTTACCGTGGACACAGGAACATCAAGGCTCAAGGAGATACTTGTGTAACCCTTTCCAGCTTCATGCGAGTCAACAATTCTTTTTCGTAGGTCTTCTGAGAGCTCTTTCTGCGAGGCATGGTTCACATCAGACAGTGCTTCTTGAAACCAGTAAACCCAAAACAGGTGTCAGGAAGCACATCATCAATATCATCACACACTGATTGGAGTCAAGGTTGGCTCACTCCTGGCTCCAATTAGCTCTGGGGGAAGTCATTAAGCTAGGGACTCACATACTTTTTCCTCCCTGCACTGTGAATGTTTACATGTTATGTGCAATTAAACCATGGCAACATCTAATGTTTGTGTAGTATTATGTTCAGCAGACTGTGTTCTTCTATTGTTGTGACTTAGATGACGTTCAGGCAGCACATTTTATGCCCAATTCATGCAAAACTCCACGTAATCCCAAGGGGTTCACATACTTTTTCTTGCAACTGTATGTGGTTGCAGTGCGCTAGTGTGGGGTTAAAGCAGGTGTGTTGAGGAGGTTATACATCTCCTCACTGCCTGCCAACTGATCTCTGAAGAGTGATCTGAATGCAAATCGCTCTTCAGAGACCAAAGGTTCATGTGAACAGTCCCCTAAAGGGATGCTGGGGCTGGGCAGGAAGGCGTTAAAACAGAAGCATCACAAACTTGTGAGTAATAACTCCATCCGTGTATCCGGACTTCAGATTGTCAGCCATCCCAATAATACTAGGGTTTTTTGTCCCTGTGCGTTACCATGAACAGAGGAAAGGGGGGAGACAGATTGGGGAGAGAAGGAGGGGGGGGAATAGGGGGAGGAGAGGGAGGGGGGATAGAGGGAGGAGAGGAGGGGGAGGATAGAGGGAGGAGAGAATGGGGGAGGGGATGGAAGGGGGAGAAATAGTGGGGGGGGGGGGTGAAGGGAAGGGAAGGGAAGGGAGATAGGAGGGGAGAGAGGGGATGGGGAAAAAAGGGAATGGGGGGAGAGATGGGGGAGAGAAGGAGGGGAGATAGAGGGGGGAGAGGAGGGTGGGAGATACGGGGGAGTGAGTGAAGGGAGGGAGATGAGGGGAGAGACAGGGATGGGGAGAGAAGGGAGGGGGAGAGATGGGGAGAGAAGGGGGGCAATAGAGGGGGGAGAGAATGGGGGATAGAGGGGGGAGAGAAGGGGGGGTAGAGGGGGAGAAAGAGGGGGTGAAGATAGAGGGAAGTGAGAGAAGGAAAGAAGATAGCGGGAGGAGAGAAGGGGGGGATATAGAGGGGGAGAGAAGGGGGGATATAGAGGGTGGAGAGAAGGAGATATAGAAGGGGGGCAAATGTTTGGGAGATAGAGGGTGGCAATAAGGGGGAGATATTAGAGGGGAGAGAAAGTCCTGGTAAAAGGGGGAGGCAAAGGGGGGACAGAGGTGGGGGAAGAAAGGAGAGGGATAGAAGGGGGAGAGATAGAAGGGGGAGAGAATGTGGAGGAGAATAGCGGAGACGGGGGAGAGAAGGGGGGGGAGGGGAGAAAAGGGGGGTATAGAGGGGGAAGGGGGGAGATTGGGGAGATGGTGGGGCGAAGGTGGAGAGATAGAGGGGGGAGAGAAGGTGGGGAGAAAGTGGTGAGATAAAGGGGGAGAGAAGGGGGGTAGAGGGGGAGAGAAAAAAAGGGGGGTTATAGGGGGGGAATGGGGGAGATTGGGGGGAAGGTCGGGAGATGGGGGGTGAAGGTGGAGATTGAGGGGGGATAGAGGGGGTGATGGGAAGAGATAGAAGGAGGAGGGGGAGAGAAGGGAGGGAGATGGGGAGAGTTCATCTGTATTGAAATATATTTTGAAATATATTTCAAATATATTTCAATATATTTGGGTTTATATTATTTTTGGGTTTTTTAAATATATTCTTCAGATTTTTTTTTTAACATATAAAAAAAGTCATTTTAACATATATTTTTAACATATATTTGTAAAATGCATTCCAAAAATGTAGATTTGTATTTTTTAAAAGACATACAGTAATATTTGAAATGTATTTTTAAAAATATTTTTCATATATTTTGTAATGAAAATGCATTTCAACATGCAGCATACTGTATATACAGTGAGGAACAGAAGTATGTGAACCCCCTGCGATTCTGCAAGTTCTCCCACTTCTCCATCATGGAGGGTCCATGACATTCACATTGCAGGGGATTCCCACTCTGAGGACAGAATTCAGGAGATCACAACATTGCAGGGGATTCGCACTCTGAGGACAGAATTCAGGAGATACATTGCAGGGGATTCGCCACTCTGAGGACAGAATTCAGGAGATCACATTGCAGGGGATTCCCACTCTGAGGAC